TATAAGAAATTATTGTACAAGTATTGTCCATTAGTTTAGGGTTCTTCTTTATTTTTTCCATTTCTCTCTTATTATCCTATATTGGGTTGTTCTGATCAGCCAAATAATTATTTCCTTCAAAGTAGTATGTGATTTATTCAAAGATTTCTAAATATATTCCTTATGTATTCTTAAAGGAAATGGTAAAATATACTTTTCTTTGCCCTGACAATAGCCCTGTGTATCTCTCAAACAATATTTGCAAATAGGTAAACTAGTTGGACCAAAGCATTGGCTGTCAGAGACACAGATTCACAAATGCATTCAAATAATAAATAGGTGCATATGGAGAAGTCTGACAGTTTAGTGGAATTGCTTTCAAGTAATTTGACACATTTATACTTTCAAACATTTACCAGCCAGTAATCCTCATTAGAAATAGGATTGGAATATTGGGGTCACCAGCTCAAATCCATTTTTCTGAGACCTGAATAATAACCAAAAGTAAGAGCTAAAGGAAGTAAAAATAAACCTATCCCAAACATCAGAATTTTCAAAATAAGCTCTTTCTCATTCCCCTTGTTTTTTTTTTCCTTTTTTGTGCCCCCTCTCACCCTGTCCTTTTCTTTTTCTTTTTACTCCACCCCCCTATTCCATTCTTTTTAGTGTTCTGAATTCATTAGATAGCATAGTGTAAATCAATAGTAAACGCTAACCGCCTACTCTGTACTCAGTTACGCAACATCGCATAACCGGTACACAGAGACAAAAAGGGAAAAAGCACACACAGCCTTTACATTCACGAGCTCTTGCATAATTTTACTTTTCCACAGCCAAAAAGAAAAAAAAAAGGAAATAACAGATGGGGAAACTTACAGTTTTTTTCCCTTTTCTCAGACTGTTTAGAAGGGAGTTAGTTAGCATCTAGGGCCATTTCTAGTTGCCCTAGGCTGCAGCAAAACATCCCATAATTGTCAGTGCCTTAACTGGCTTTAAAACAAGACTTTGTGACCCTCTGTGATGTGATGAATTTTCCCGGTAATTTAAGACTGAAATAATTTTGAGGTGTTTTCATTTATTTTATGAAAAATCAAAAGTATGCTAAGCATGAAATTAATTTTAAAACAGAGGATAAGAAAGATTGTGTGTGTGTGTGTGTGTGTGTGTGTGTGTGTGTGTGAGAGAGAGAGAGAGAGAGCAAGCGCGCATGAGTTTTCACTTGAAATGTATCCTGATGTAATATTTATGTAAAAAGGCAGTTATATAAACTCATCTTTCTCTTGTTTTTTACTTTCTCTGTATAAAGCTCTATTTTTGTTTTTTCTCATGACAAAGTACATTCAAACCCCAAAGCCTTAATGAAAGAGAAAACATTTAGATGCTACAACAGGGACACTTAATTCAAACTCCCTATAGAATTCCTCCCTTAAAGGACACTTCTATTTAAGAACCTGTGGTTTCTGGAATTCTCATTTAGAACTTTCTGTCACTCTAGTCCCTAGAACACCTTTAGATTCTTCATACTGACTTTCTTTAAATCTTAAATGTATAATAAAAGTGTTCTCTCTCTCTCTCTCTCTCTCTCTAACTTTTCACCCCCTTCTCACAACCTCCACTTTTTTTTTCACTGAAGTAACTCCCTTCCCAGCTTAAATGGGAACACTGTGAGATTTGTATGTGATTTATCAGTCTTTCTTCCCTATTATAATATTTTGTTTCACTTAACTGACTAGTGTCCTCTGGGAACCAGGCATTTGTCTGATAAAGAAGGTTGGAGAAATTTTTGGTTTAGTTTTGTTTTTCCTTTCTATTATCTATTGACTGCTTATAAAATGGATATAAAATGATACAGAACCTAGTACTAGGCACTGGTAGAGATCTATTAGAAGGAATTGTGTGTAATAGTGATTTCGATTATTTTTAATGCAATCATAGAAAGTAGAAGGTGGGTGGAAAAGAGGATAAATATAATCATTCATGTATGAGTAGGAACTATTGAGGTACTTCCTCTCCTTGTATTTGGGATCATCTTCACTTTTTAAAATCGTACTTCACTTCTGGACATTAAAGCTGTGAGAAATTAATTTAATTTTTCTGAAGGTGTGAAGTGTTTTTCCTTTATTGTTTTAAAGTTCTAGACTATCTCATAATTTTTAAAAACTTTTTCTGATGTGTTAGCTATAAAGCCAGAATAGTTTTATCTGGTATTATGAGTTTCATTGCCTGAATGTGGTGTGGTGGCACTGGCCTCCAACAACTGACTATTCAAGATCATTGGGATTATCATGTCTCTGATTTATGATGATATAGAGACATATTTTTTCATCTTAATATGAATAATAACTAAACTAGTGTATGTTTTAAATTTTTTATTAATTTATTTCCTTTCAACCTTTTTTTAACAGAATACATAACTCAGAGATTTGTTTGTGGAAAAATAATGAAATAAATATTGGCCAGAATAGTCTAGTGTTTAACCAGGAAATCATATTCATACATGTATTTTTTCTAAATGTCCCTCTACATGTAATATAGCTTAGTTTGGATTTCAATATGTTATTTTTATGTTGTCACCTGATTATCAAAAAATAAAATTCAGCCTCATTTTTCATTTCTGTTGGCATAGTGGTGCTTTCTAATGTTGCAACAAAACCTTGGACACTGGCTTATATTCTCAAGCAGAATCACTTCAGTTGTACCTGCACATACATAGTACCTTAATAAATATGTTTGTGTTTTAGAAAAATGTAAAATTCATTCTATGTAATGGAATTTTACCATGATTAATAATCTGTAAATAGGGTCTTATATTTTTGTGTATAATTCTACATACAAAATTATTTCTACTTAGGAAATTATTCTAAGTACCCTAATTTTCAAATGGGTTGCCTAGATTTGAAACAAACAAACAAAACAAACCTAGATTTCTAAAGGACAAAGGGATCCACATTTTTGTGGTTATCAAAAACAGTTGGAGGCATCTGAATATTAAAGATGAGGAGGAAATATCTGAAGTTATCCCCTGTTTCCCTTTGTCAGAATATCTTCCATTTCCATCTTAATTGTTTTTCAGACTCTGAACCTGCAGACAAAGCAGGATTGACCTTTCAAAATCCAATGTATGGCAATAGCATCTACTCAGCCCTAATTTTTTGGGGGGAGGCGGTTAACTTTATTCATTCATTCATTCATTCATTCATTCATTCATTCATTCTAATCAATTATACATGACAGCAGAATGCCCTTCAATTCATTGTACACAAATTCAGCCCTCATATTCTGTTGTAACCACAATCCTGGGAACATATAGGTTACTTGTTCCTCCCAAAGCATTCAAAAGCTAGGGAGAGCTTTAAACACTAATTTTTCTTAAGTCCTTCAAAACTCTTCAAACCTCCTTTCCCTCCTCCTTGCTTTTGGCAGTGTGATAGATGTTTCCTAATGTTTCAACAAGAACCTCAGTTACTGACTTCCCTTCTCAAGCAGGATCACTTCAGTTGTGCCTGACACATAGTAGCAGCTTCATAAATATTTTCTGTTTTGGTGAGCTGATGAGGGACCTGCTGTGGCTGTTCCCTCGGAGCTTATAGCAGGTAAGCAGTAAGCCCTGCGAGTAATAAAAGGGTAAGTGAAAATTGGATATGGAGGTCTTCAGATCCTAGAAGTGGACATGTTATACCATTTAATGATTAAGTCCTTATCTCATCTTTATCTTCATAAAAGTAGTGAGTTTCTGACGGCAATTTTCCATCTTTCATAAAGGTCCTTTTTAGCGGTCAGTGCTACATAGACTATTGGCTCATTTAAAATAATAATTTTTGGCAAGCTACCTTGGTTATCCTCATTAAATTTCATATGCAAATGTGTTAGATACTTAAGATTCTGGCTCTCAAATATATTCCTCTTGCACTCTGCCACAGGGTCCTTTGAATCTTGGCTCTTCTCATTTCCTCTGAACAATTATTTTTGGACTTCTTTTATTTACATAGGTCCTAGGATGATATCTATACAGAAATTTTATGTGGATTGATTCTTTTACATAGTATTTCATTACTTTTAGCTACAGAAATTTCTGATCTTTCAAAATCAGTTTTGTCATCGTGTTATTCATTTTCAAGGCTTCCATTGTGGTGGTAGTATAGGAAGATGAGGGCATCGCTTGGTAAAACCACCTGTGGCTCATAATTTTAAAGGCATTGAAAAGCAAAGCCTGGGGAATTATTAACAGGCTGCAGCTTGTTAGCCAAGCAATTTTTAAAATGCAGATTATATAATATTGGAGGACTTTGTTGCTCCACAGTAGAAGCTTTTTAAATGTTAATTTGGAGTTTGTTTTGTTGTTCTGTGACTTAGCATAAAAGGTTTTAGTTTTAAAAGGTTTCAGTTCACTCGTTCCATTTGTCTTACCGAACTCAGAATACAATACTATACATTTATTTATACTCATGAAGAAGGATAAGGCCAGTAACTCACAACTCATGAAACCAGGGGTAAATAACCCATAGCTTGTTCTCCCACCATTGCCACAATATTTATATCCAGAACACAGTAGCAAACAACCAAAAACAAGGAAAAAACAGTTTGTTTTTATTTATAAAATGTTTAATCAAAAGTACAGTAAAGTTCAAATGGAGCTGCAAATCCTAGTGGTTCACAATGGTTTGATTTATTTTTTTAACAGACCATGGATAATTAACCATAAAACATAACTTTCTCAATACAAGTTACAGTGAATTGCAGAAATGGGCAGCAAGTCATTCATAACTGGTTGCAACTGGTTAGAGACCTTCAAGTTAAACATGCAGACGGTTACAAAAGCTACTTTTTTAGTACACAATTTTATTTTCACTTCCAAACAGAAACATCTTTTACTTTCTATAAAATATCACTGGGTCAGTGTCCCAAATCAAGTAACAAATGGATTATTTTCTATGACTGCCATGTTGTTATACATTTATTAAAATTTATTAAAATGTATTACTTTTATTTTTAAATTGTGTTTTTCTTTCTTTTCATTTCAGAATCTTTTATCATCACTAACTGGATATTCCTCACAACACTGCTGGCTGGTAAGTAATGCTCATTATCTTTAGAAGGTAGTCCAAAATATTGAGGTGAAAAGAAAAATATATTTCTACCAACTTCAGAAAAAAATGAAACCTAATGGCTGTGGTGCATCTACTGCCTTAAGTACTAAATTTGAACAGAACACCTTTTGGCATTATTAACAGGTAGAATTTTTATATCCTGCTGTATTTTGAAATACGATTATTTAGAAAGATAAGAAACCTGATCCCCAAAACCCATTGTCAAAGATACTGGCAAAATTTTTGAATGACTTTGCTACACAGGGCTGGAAGTAGCCAAAGGACTTGTGTAAAGTCTCTCCAGAGAGAGATTTTTCAAAGGAGACTCCTGTGGGCAGGAAGGGTGAGAGGGTGAATATGGGAACTGATCTTTATGTGGAACATTGAATGTTTTGGCATTAAGCAAACACACACAAACCCCTCCAAAGTGTGATTCTTTAAACTTTTCATTAATATTCTATAATATTCTGAAAATTTGAAATGCATTTGCTTCATTTGGCTCAATCTCAAAAGCAGATATGATTATTCTTACATATGCCCACAAACAGAAGGAAAGAATACCCTTAGGGACATGAATAAGACCCCTCCCACCACCACCAATCTTTACTAATTAAGGAAGAGGACCAAGATCAGAGCTGCAAGTAAGCATCACTTTTAGGTTTTGTCTTTCTGTCTTTTAGTGAGAATTTGTAAAATTTCAAAAATGTTGGCATTGTGACTTCCTAGAATTCTTGATATTTCAGTGGCTAGGAGGAAAGTGCTGGTCAAAACTAAGGGTATATTGGTAAATCATCCTCAAGTTATATACAGCCTGAAGATCTAAGTTTGCTAGAGCTTGGCCTGCATTGAAATGCACTGGCAAATATTCTGGAGAGGGAGGAGGAGGGAAGGAGTGACTTGCCTGGCATCTGACTATGCTGTGCCTGGCTCCTACCAGGGCTATTTAGTCATGAACATCATATTCATCCAAACCTTTAAAAGTTACACTCTTGACTTCATTTTATATGAATGTGCATAAAATGAGGAAAATAATCTCTTAGGGTAATAAAGATAGCTTTGTAATAAGGACTTTCCATATCCATTGCACATGATCCATAGTTGTCCCTATTTTGTTGTTTATAATTCTGTTGCTCATCTATCTCTGACTCTCTGAGCATATCCATCTCGCCACTGAAGGCCACAAGCCTTCAGGATTTTAACTCCCTCTCTCTCCCCACTCCCATGCTTTACTTGTTACACTGCCCAGAAAGAAACTCCTATCAGTGGGAGCCTCAGAAACTCAAGGGACAGGCTTATTTTGGTAACTTTAATTTGTAACTCCCTTTGCATTCATCACAAAAAGATCTGATCACAAAAGGGCCTGAATTTCCCCCTCTTGCTGGTTTGCAAAGAAGCCATTTCCTCTCCTATTTCTTCCAAGGCACAGAAAGCTCCTTATGTTTCTATGATCAGATAAAATCTGTATCGATGTTTCTTTTCCTCTGGGTGTATTTCACTTCGAGGTATGAAGATTTAAGCTATCAGGGCAATGCTGTGTGTTTGCAGTTTCTCTGTTTTAGTAAATGAAAACTTCCTTGGGAAAGGAGAGCACATCTTTTCCACATCTTTTTCATTTTCAAATGATACATGCTCATTAAAAATAATTTGGAAAAATACATAAGAATAAAATGAAGAAAAATTAATGATTTCTATAATTTAAATTCAGTCATCAAAAATTATTTTATTTTTTACTCTCTTTTTCCCTGAGGATATATATATATTTTAAACATGCCGTAATCATACTTTCTATATAAATTTTGTCTTGCTTTCAAAATTTAACCTAAGAATTTTATAATAATTACATAGACCTTATAGAAATTTTTACTTTTCCTGAAGAGGAATAGCTCATTTAACCTAAATATCCAATAAGAGTGTTATTATTGTTATTTACTTTTTATGTCCCCCAAATTAATCTAAATGAATGAGTCCATAAATAATGAATAAATAAATGAAAGCTCAAATCAGTATATACACTTATGTTTATTTTATGAAAATTTTCAAATACATGAATGTAAACAGAGTACTGTAACTAACTCCAGTCAGTCAGTGACTGACTCAGGACCTATCCTGCTATACCACAAAGTTATTTTGAAGCAACTCCAGACATCATGGCATTTAATTCATTACTGTTTCAGGCTCATCAGGACATATTTACATGTTAATGTTCAAACATTCAGATAAATAGTTTTAATCATTGTATACAGCAGTATTTTTCCTTCTTATTTACATATTTTCTAATGTGTAACGGTTGATTATAAAATCTCATTTGTGTGTTTCATAATATTCTTAGGCACATCTGTAAGCCAATAGGCAGTTTGGTTGACTAGAGAGACATTTCACAGACTTGGCTAGGTTTCTTGGGGGAAAGAACTGTCTTTCTTTTGGTACTTCTTTAACTTGACTCAAATTTAAGATGAGAATTATCATGCCAAACCTGTGTTGCCTTAATTATACTCGTTAGTAGACATATGCATGTATGTGTACAATTCTTTGTCCGAGATAAAAGGAAAATGTAGTCTTCTGACTATTGGGGAGTCTTCTGATTACTACAGTCTTCCTGCAGCCAACCCTTACTAAATATAACAAACATACTTAAACCAAATGTACTGCGTACTCAAAAATTTATAGTTTTTAAATTTATTGATAGAAATGAAAAGTATGTATTGGGTACATGGAACTTTTAGGAAGTCTGTAAAGAGGGGAATTATATAATAATAGTCTGAGTTGTGTTCTTTAAAAAACACTATGTTTGAGGGGAAGGAGAAAGTGCATGGTAGAACAATGCCTGAATATATTGCGCTAGTGTGTTCTTATAATGTTTTACAGGACCGTATATATAGCCAGCTTGCCATGGCTAAACCAGTTCTTTCACACAAAGAACTCCACAGATGAGGAATTCTCTGTTCAAATGAGGCTCTTTGTAGAAAACCTTTCTGCAGAGTTTGGTCTTGTCTCACTGTCTTTGAACTGTAGGTCAGTGACTATTCAGTAGCAATGTGTTGTCCAACAGGTATATTACACTCATCAGAAATTCAGGATGTGAGTAACTAAGTAACATACTGCCTTGGTATAAACTGAATTTATGTGTTACTCTGGTCTATTTAATCTTAGCAGCACATTTTCCATTGGCCTCGAAAGTTGAGTAGCTAGAATATTGATGTGTCTAACCCTTGGGGAAGCAAAAAAAGAGCTTCTCCACCACACTAAATCTCTAGAAAAATATGAAGGTTTACAGTATGGACACATACAAAATATTTTCAGCAAAAGCTGGTAGAGAAAAGCACATGGAAAAAAAAGAAAGTAATAACACAAGCAATAAACTATCCCAGGCAAACAGAGAGCATCTGTAAAATTTGGTAGACTGAAAGATATAAACAATACAAACTTTTTTTTTCTTTTCAGTTTTTATTCCCCCTTACTCTTCTAATCATTTTTGTCTCTCCTTTACCCTGATTCAGCATCACCATCATTAAAATATCAGCAAAAGGTCAGAAATGTATGAATGCTTGGCATTCAGGAAGTATCACAAGGAAAGATAGGTAGGAGCTAATATTTTACTATTTTAAAGCTGCCAAGGTATTTTACCCCAAATGTCTATATGTAAAACAACTAAGCTTTTTATCTGTAAGATTAATATTATCAACAGAATGGCTAAAATAAAGGTATAATGCTCCTTTACTTCTTCATGCATTCATTTCTTATATGTGGTATTGGATTGTGTGCCTTGTGTTATTAAACCTAGACTATTAACTGCCTTTTAAAGAAAATAGTTTACTGTTCTGTTTAAAATAAATGATTCTTTCTACCTGTGCATTACACACTATATCCACGTGAAACATCAAAACCTTATCATGATAATAGCAATAATAATAATAATAATAATAATAATAATAATTGATAGTATTTTCTTCTAGGTGTGTGTGAAAAACACCCATTTCCTTGGAGTTGGCCTATTTGGGATCCAGTATTTTTTCAATTGATATTACATTTGTGACTTTATGTATCCTCAAACTGTTAAAAAAAAAAACATTTCTTAGAATAAACTAGTAATCCACACCCACTACCTCCTCTTCCTCAGTAAGTTCAGAACAATGGTTGGATGATTCTATTTATTTAGAGCAGGGAATCCTTTGTAGGTACCCCCACAAGTCAGAATTTTCATTTTAGATTTAAATAATCTGATATTCACAAAATTTAAAAAAATAATAATAAAATAAAAAAAGCTTCTTCAGTCATCAGGTCTCTGTTCCGTGGAGCTAGGATGTTTTCTGGTTAAATTGTATTGCACACATCATCATGCCCTATTACTACGCGGATAAGAATCATGACATTTCCTCACTGAGGTAACTGCAGTGACTCCACTTCCCTTGCAGTGGTGAAGGAGGAATGAAAATCCCAATCAAGGCAGATATTCAAGGAAATGATTTTGTAGCCAGCTCATCCCTTACATGGTAGAATGCTGAGGAGAAATTTTCATATTTTCCTCTTTAACTAGAGTCTATAGTGTGTAGGATATAATTTGAAGATGGTGTTTTCTTTGGGCATTCTTTCATAGGAGTACTAGATCCATTGAGGCCTGGGTCTGTGTTCTGTCTTCCAACATTAAAACATTCTGAACATGCTGCTGATGTAGACCTTTTGGTCAAAAGTAATTTGCTTTCTTCATAGTTGATGGCCACCCTGTGAATCAACCTAATATACTTGTGGTATGGGGATCTGTAACCTCTGAATACTAAGTTCAAAGACTCTAGTAATTAATTATTTAAAGACATTTTAGCCCTTAACTATTTCTTTCTTTGTCCACAAACAAGTTGATTGGTTAATCATGCCTTTGTTTATTTTTATTGTTTTTGCTATACACATTGCACATAAAACAGTTTCAAAAGAGGAAAGGCTGTTTATAAGAGGTAATTACAATGGCAAAATTGTACTTTCTTTAGCTG